CGTCACTTTGACCTATCCATCTGTTTCCTGGCATGTGATTCCTTTTTACGCCCATCAGTCGGTTTTCAGGAGTGGTTTTTTCAGGAACCATCCTAAGGCTGAAGATCGATTCTGTCTTTATATATTTTTAGAAGAGTTCTTTTTTTGGCAAAAGGCAAACTTAGATTCAAAAAATAGATTCTTAGGTCTTTATTGATTTGCAAACATAGGTAAGAAAATCTGCCCTATAATTTAAATGAATTACACAAATTAAACAAATAAACAGGTCAAAAACATGTGGATAAATCTCTGTGTCATCACTGTAGTCAAAAAATGACACCAATTTCTTTGAAACTTACAGGAAATCCATTAGATCAAGTCTAAATGATAAGTGAGACTGACATTAACTAAAGAGATTAACATTGAAGTGCCACACAGTAGTAACGTGGTTAGGACTCCTGCCTTACAGCTTGAAGGTCCACTAGTCATCTAAACAATCACACTCTGGATTTGGTTGAAATTTCTAAGTGTCATGTTTTAAGTGACGAGATCGGTCAGCTGATGGCGCTAATGTCATGTTGTGTTCTTCTCACCTTCTGTATTGGTATTGTCTTTTAAAGCCCTGCTTTAGTGGCTGCTTCTGTAGGTTTAGACTCTGGATGTTTTGCTAATTATGAATCATACGTCTGGTGAGAAATATCTGAAAATACACACACACACACACACACACACAAACAAACACAAGAACAGACCGCTCTGTCCTGGGCACCAATCCTGGACATGTGTCATCTTTCTTTAAAGCTGAAAACAACACATGCAGATCTCACATTGATTTTTTTTCTATTTCAGCTACAGAAATGTTCCTGTCACTTCTGAAAATACTAACAAAGACAAGATCATATAAACAGCATCCCTACACTGCCCCCTGTAGGTTGTACAATTCATAAATGTGCAACTCTACTTTGTTCAAATGACGTTTTACTCAGCTCAGTGCTGTGTTACTTACACTAAATGCTAAATAACCATACGGGGTTCATACAGTACAGGGAACTTTGGCAGCACCAACCCACTGAGGGAACGTCTGCGCCAGTTTCAGAACAAACTGCTGTTAGTCATTGAGTTATGACGGGAATAAAAATGTTGTCGAGTTTACGGTCTGTCCTGCTGCTGCTGACAGGTCTTCTGTCTGTAAACATATTTCTTCTCTTCACAGATAATTCCATTAATCAGTGGTTTTACACTGGTCTGAATGATTTAATGTGCAGTTTAGTCTCCTCTCCATAAACATCATGTTATACAAATGGTAATGTGCACTTTCTCCCAGTGTGTCTGTGATATGATGCCATACCAAATTTAGTTACAGGCCTGTCTGCATCCTCCATGAAGCTGTCAGGTATGTGCTGTGGCCTGACATGATCCAACCTCTCAGACGGTGTCCAAGCAGGTGGTGAAATAACTCCGACTGTAATGTCTTCTGGACAAAGGCAAACCCTTCAGTTGACAGCTGAGTGGAGTGCTGACATATTTGAGATAAAAAAAATACCTCAAGGTGAAAAATACAGTAAAATAAGTCAGAAAGTTCCAAGAAAAAATCTGTATTTTTTTGTCACCATTCTTTTTTGTCACCATTCTTCTCCATGTTTTTTTTGTTTAGAGAAAATAATTCACTTTCTAATGTTTTTTTTTTGTTTAGAGAAAATAATTCACTGAAGCAACGCTTCAATAGATTTAACAGAACTTTAGTTGAGGAACTTAACTAAGTTTGAAATTAAACACAAAACCACGCTGACGCTTACAAAGATAACTAGTTGTTAGCGACGTGATTGAAAGTGGACAAACGGTTTTCTAATGATACCATCTGTCTAAGAACTTGTCTTACTGCCAACAAGTGGATTCTTTTGTCAGAACCACGGGTTGTTCCTGGAGCCCATCCTTCTTCTGCCCACAGGTTTGATGTGAATCATTTCAAATATTTACTCTGACTCTGTCTCCGTGAACAGCTTGCTGTCAAACGTCCAACCTCTTCCTTGACCCAGCTGTTTGACTTTCACTGTGAATCAGTGTTTAGAGGAAGCATGTGCCTGACATTTGATTGATTTTTCTCTCTGACCTGCAGAACAGATGTGTGTGTGTGTGAGTGAGAGGATGTGTGCGTGTGTGTGTGATTCTGCCTGCCACTTAGACTACAGGGAAAATCCATGGAGTCTGGGGTTGCCATGGTAACAGTAATCACTTTTAATTCGGCGTCAGGGAGGAACAGGGGCTAAAGGTGGGTCGGAGCTGTGGAGCAGGTCAATGGTAGAAGAAAACCACAGTAAGAGTGGAAACAAGGTCTCCCTCTGGTTATTGACACTGCAGGTATTGACAGCGGTGGAGACAAAGACTGAAGTCAGTGATGGTTAGGATGGAGACGGTGGAGACAGTTTGTACAAATACCTCTCCGTCGGAGTCTCCGGGGGATTCAAACGCTCCTCCTCTGTCTTTGCCGCCTCTCCTCCTTCACCTCTCAGAGATAATAATCCCTACATCGACTTTCATCGACAACCTCTTCTCTCTCTCTTTTTTTTTCTACGCAGCCCAGAAAGGAGGAGAGAGGACATTAATTATGCATTACCATTTTTGCCCCATCTCCACCTCCTTATCTGTCTCTACGTGTGTACCTCCACTTTTCATTTTTGTCCTCCTCTCCGCCTCCCTCTCTGCGTTAAGAATATCATTAATGAGCGGGCGGGAGACAGACAAACGGCACGAAGGACGGAGCTTGATGCTAATTAAACTGTTTGCTTTGTTTTCTATGTCACACTGCTCGGCCGCCTGCTGGCTTTTACACACACACACACACACACACACACGTAAAGTGAGTGTGAGCCTTGAGTGGAAGTCAAGTAGAAAAAGCCTGGAATAAAAAAACACCACCTGCCACTCAAGCCAGCATCCTTGTAGTACACTACACACACACATACACACTCACACACACACACTCTCACATGATCACTGGTCCATAATTTTCCGCCACACTCCCCTCTCAGCCAATAAGGTGGCTGGGATTTGTGAGATTGTTTGGGTGGGAGGAGCACAGAGTGCAGCTGGCTGATTGACAGCACGCGCCCTACAGGTGGAGAGAAGAACAGAGAGAAAGAGAGCAGGAGGGGAGAGAGAGAGAGGGAGAGACAGAGTGGGGGAGAGAGAGAGGGAGAGAGAGAGTAGAGGAGAAGACAAACAAGGAGTGAGTGAGGAGAAGAGGAGCAGCTCCAATCAGACTATTCATGAACATACTGTATTCACTCGCACCTACGCACACACACACACACACACACACACACACACACTCATACGTCCACTCCCAGTGCTCCTCTCCTCCTCTCCTACCTTGGGAGCGTGCGTCGCTGAGTTAACCATCAGTGTTGTCAGCACCTCCACCACAGCTGGACCAGGATGAGCCAGTGCAGGAAAAGGTGCAAGAGGCAGCTCACCAAGGTGGCTCGCTATTTCTACCGCTTCCTCATGGGAACGCTCAGCCAAGGTAGGCAGAGAAAACTTCCGTGGCTGCTGGCTCCATGTGTTGTGAAAGTGCAGTTCACTGTGAATCCAGTGGAGATGAGCAGCTTGTGGCTCGGCTGTCATCCTGACACTGGTGGAGAGTCGATGCCACTGCCTGTGTCCGTGGCTCGGTTGTAGACGTGGTGACGACAGACCAAAGGTGCTGTTGGCTTTACGGATTATATTACCTCACACTGTGTGTGTGTGTGTGTCTTTGTGTTAGTGTTTTTGTGTGTGTCTCTGCAGCAGTGTCTGAGTGCTTCGTTACATCACCAGACTGAAATAACCAAACAAATGGTAAATGGTCTGTACTTCTCTGAACACGTCGTCTCTGGTCCAGTTGACCACTCAAAGCACTTTACACTTCTGGAGAAACCATCTATTTAAGAGTGGGGAAAAAAGGCTATTCAATCTGGAATCAAACCAACAACCATCTAGGTGTCTGACAACTGCACTACCTAGGTACAGCCTCCACTCCCCCACGCCGTTGTCTTTCTCTTCATATGTCTATGGATGTTTTCTTTTCAGTATATTTCTCCACATTGCTTAGTTCTAAACAAATGAACTCCAGATCGTAGGTTCTGTGTTTGAGGTCCACACGGACGTCACGTCTATGAACACGGAAGGAAATGAAGCATAAACCTGAAATGTCTAAGTCGTTCTGTTGGTCGTGAGCACAGCGTTACTGAAATAAAAAGTGAGGTAACACTGTGATATTCACCCATACACATGCTCAAAATAACATTACACATGCAATGCAACATGGACTGATTCCTACAGCGATCAGAAACATCACTTTTGGCCTGTCTCTTTAAGTGGGACAAGTCTACAAAGAACTTTCTGGTGGCAGGCAGGGGCAGTGCAACACTCTAGCCCCTTATATTTCTAACTTTCTTGAATTAAAACAGTATTAGTATCATCGTGCATCATCTACCTTCTTTCTAACTGCAGTTTGATTCCTTTCCTCCATCCCTCCCTCCTCCTCCTCTCACCTCTCCCCCTCCCTCCTCCCTGGCAGTCAAACAGCTTGCCCGGTGAAAGCCTGTGGCATTGCACCTCCTTTGAGAAACTCTCAGTGGGAGAAGGAATCACACAGGCCTTTTACCCAGCCCCTCAGCCAACTCTCAGTATGACAGCAACTCCCCCATCCCCGTCCTCCTCTTCCTCCTCCTCTTCCTCTCCTGCACACAACTTAATAATGCAAGTCTTTGCACTGAGAACTGAGAAAACTTTTTTTTTTTTTAACTCAGTTGAAATTCTGTCCTTGATACATAGATGATCTTCTCTTCTTTGTGCCCTGGCACTCTTCGTCCCACTGGGCTCAGCGCTCGCTGTCTCCTCCAGAAACTGTAACGTTTCCATATGCAGCTCAGCTTTCACCTGGTTTTTTTCCTCGTGCAGGTGATGTAGAGCAGGGTTTCACGTTGCCTTGGGGGACGACGCCAAAAAACTAGTGTTTTTATTTTTATTGAATCTGCACAGTTGATCATGGAAGGTGGAGAGGAGGCAGCTGTTTAGATGACCTTGTCAATGGAGCGGTGTCTGAATGCTAATTTGACATCCGCGCCGCTCGTCTCCACCTCTGCTTTGCTGCGCGTTATCTTTTCAGACTTTGACATCTGCACAGCTTTGTGCTCGTGCTCTGAAAGGAGCTATTGGACACGGAAGCACGTGCACGTGTGTGAGCGTCAACACGAACGCACACGTGCACACACACATAAAGACAATGAGACAGATTACGTAGATGTTTTTCCTCTTTCATAATGAATCTGTGAACAGTTATCAGTTTTCAAAGGGAAAAGCTCTGATGTAACATTGAATCAACAACACAGGGAGCCTCGTGTATACACAAATAATGTGAAAAGACACAGATTTATGTCTTAATGGGTTTATGTAACACGACTACTGTCTAGAAATCTCATTAATCAGCCATAAAAACATGAATAAATTGGCTCTGTGCCCTGTACTGTCTGAGTGTTCGTTGGACACTCCAAAACAACACAGAATTCTATGCAAATTATACACAGTTACTCATTAAAAAGACACAACAAAAAGCTTCACTGTTTTATTGGAAGACATGTTGCGTCATTGTTTATTTCCTGTTTTTAACTTTATTCAAATTTGCGCTGCTGAAAACTCACCAAAGTTCACATTAATGTACCGCTAAAAATACTAATAATAATAAAAGTACGACTAATAATATTTAGGGGATTTAGCTAATAATAATAAAAATACGACTAATAATATTTAGGGGATTTAGGAAACTGTTTCGCAAATAATGGATACCAGTTTTCCGAAGAAAAAAAAACTCTTTTAGCAGAATCCTAAAATTGTCCGTCTGCCACAGTTGAAAGCTTAGTTTAGATTTTATCAGTCCCACAATTCACCTGAGGCAAAAACAAAAGGGATGAAAAATGAAAAGTGTACACTGCTGAGATGTGTAGGAGTACGCAGGAACTATGAAATATATGTACCCTTAAAGTATTTACACAGTGAAAGAAAAACTACTGTGAAAGAAAAACTACTCACTGGCACATACTGGGGAGTTTGTACAGAAGCAAAATGTAGTTTACTTAGACTATGTTGGCATTCAGCAAGTCACTTTTCAACAATTTTATATATGAGTTTTAAGAATGGACTCTGTACTGTACTGTACTGTACTGTACTGTACTGTCACCCAGTTCTCTGATAATTCCCTCTCTTCAAGGCAGAGATGCAAAGTACCCAAAGCTAGGACTCAAAGATACAGACTGTTTTTTCTACCATGGGAATTGGATGGAATTAATTAGCATAATCCATAATTAGACTGTTCATATTTCTGTGATTATTTCCTCCATATTTGTCTACTCTTAATTATGTTTGACTGTGTTTTCTGTGTTTGAAGTTGTCTCTGAACTTTATGGATATAGTGGGTCGAGGATGGATGGATGAATGGATGGATGGATGAATGAATGGATGTCTATTTTTAGCCTGATTGTGTTGTTTTGTTTTTAGACTCTCAGTACATCATGCGTCAGTCATATAATCAAATTAAGTGTTTGAGGCTCAATGAGTAACATCTGCTGTTCCCCACAGGAAGAGTCAGTAATTACCCCAAACACTGCCAGCTTTTCTGATGAATGCCTAGGTGATTTTTGTGCAGACGCCGCCTCCTTGTTCCTAATTTGTGAGAATCATTTATATCAGTCAGCTGCCGCAGTTTCAGCCCTTTTGCGTTTTTTCCTCCTCAGAGGAAACAAGAAAAGTATCACAGTATTTTTTAACAATGTTTAGGAAAGAAATCCAATCGTTGGTTCACCTTGATGTTTGCATTGATGTGACAATATGAAATGAGGTTAATTTGATTCAGTTGTGTTTAAAGTCGGTCTGTTTTTTAGGCAGTTCTTGGAGTTTAAATTTTTCATCCACTCCACTGAAAACTACCGATACGCTCGATGTCAAAATGTTTCCTTTTTTTTTTTGGTGTTTTTCCAACTATCTCTGGGGACAAACAGAAAACATGGCCTGTTTAGCAGTAAGTGCTACGGTTGATGTTCAATATTTTCACCTTCGTTTGTGCCTTTTATCCTAAAACTCCTGGATAAACATTGCGAGAAAATGTTTTTAGAACCACAACTTCAACCATGTCTTCTGTTATTTTAGATAAAAACCCACACACACAGACTAAGTTTCACGTCAAATGCTTCAAACTACGGTTTGAAGCCAAAATAATCAGCAGTGTTCTGCAGTGACTGTGCAACGATTAGTCGACAAAAATCGATAATTAAAATAGTACCCAACAATTGAATTTTTGTAAAACAAATTAGTCGATTAATCGTTTGAATGTTCTCTGACTAATTGACGATCAAAATAGTCGTCAGTTGCAGCTGTGTTCGTCAGTCTGTACAAGCATTGGGAACATTATACTTTTTTTTTTACAATCAGAGCCACTGCTGAGTTACCCACTTTCAGACAGTTTTCTGTGCGGGAACTATTACGTACAACAGAGAAGACAGCATCCATCAGTCTGGTTGACCGTCTGACATTCTGCACAGATGCTTCCGAGCAAAGCGTTCAATCCCCCATGTCAGGAGTTTAAAGTAGTCTCTGATCGAAACCCATGACTGGCAGGGATGGATGTACCTGACTGTAGTCAACGTCCAAAGACTCTCTGAACATGTTTGTTTCTGACACAAAATAATGAGGAAACCAGTTGCAGTGAGAACATACAGAGAGAAACGACTGTTCTGATAAAGTCACCCTGTTATCTTTTGTGCTTTGGGCAGGCGTACTTACCACTCTTCCACCCTGTGGCCCTGTCTGCTCCATAAAAATGTTGTGAAGATTTCACCATGTTGCTCATCAGTCCCTGCCTCAGGAGTTTAACCCCCCCTGCCTCCCCCCCCCCCCTTTAAACAGCATTAATGTCTACACGGTGCCAGTGCACATAAACAGGTGAATAGAAGCCGTTGACATCTCCGTAACCACTGTAGGGCTGGTTTTTTACATCAGCCCAACTGCTCGACTTCCGTACAGAGCAGCGTGTCACAGACGTACTGATCTGTCTGAACCAGGGAGCTGTGTAACAGCGCTAATTGGTTAATGTGTGCACATTAAAATGTATGAAAGCAAAGATAATAGATGTTCCTGATGTCTGTTGAGCAGCTCATGCATGTATAATACACTCACAGCCAGGCACGCACACTGCTGTAGAGTCTGGCTCTGATTGGTTGTCCTACAATAATAATAATAATTAATTAAATAAATTCCAGTTGAGGTCCAGTTGCCAAGGTAGCTCTGATTTAAAGTGAATAAATGCACAGGGTTTTAAATGGGGCTTAAAATGTAGCTTAGCTGTGATGAGTCGACATGAAAAAAGAGGCCGTATCTTTTCAACAATGCTTGACTTGGACGCGCTGTTTAATGGTTTGAAAAGCAGTAAAAACAAAAGTCATGCCCAAAATATACCAACTAGTACAATGCAACATGAAACACCTCCCTTTG